TATATTACTTGTTAAAAGCATGTTCCATAACCGCGGCCCTCGGCAAGATATCGAAAAATTAGCTTGTTTTGATAATGTTTTTGGTATAATAAAATTACTTGTTAAGTATTTAGTTTCGTATTTGTGGTTTAAAGAAAAAAAATAAGTTTGGAAAATGCTTGGTAGCATACCATTTTTAAACTTAAACATGAAAATTAGTATATTAAGAATATTTATTTCATAGACATTAGGCACTCCAATTTCTCTTAGTAGTGTTTTGGCACTAGCGTATTTATTTGCATTTAATATCAAGCGAATTGCTCGTTTTTGTATATTGTAGATCATATTTAACTTTGAAGGATAAATACTGCCCAGATAATGTTGCAGTAGCTGATGTAGCTATGAATAAATGCAAAATAAATATTTTTTAAACAATTTGTGTTTAGGAGATGTTTTGTTTTATACATAATACCAATAATTTTTGATACTTATTTTCTTTTACTTTGATATGGTTACTCCAGCTAAGATGTTCATTAAGAATTACGCCTAAAAATTTGATTGAGTATTCTCGTTTAAGTTTAGTTTTATCAATTAGTAAATCAGGTAGTTTTAAGGGGAGGGTTTCAGATTTTGATAATTTTGTAAAAAGAATATATTTACTTTTTTCGACATTTAAGGAGAGTTTGTTAGCCTTAAACCATTCGTTCAGGTTTTCAAGTTCTTGATTAACAGTGTTAAATAATAGGCTAATGTTTGTGTGGCTAAAGAACACTTGCGTATCATCGGCAAAAAGGACAAAGTTAAGTATGTTAGAAGATACGTAGATATCGTTAATATAAACGAGGAATAATAATGGACCAAGAATTGATCCTTGTGGAACCCCACAAGTAATGTCTTCAAGTCGTGTTACAGTCTTGTTATATGATAAAGTTTGTTTCCGATTATTAAGGTAAGAGCGAAACCATTTTAAGTTGTTATTTCTTATTCCATAATTATATAGTTTATAAAGAAGAATTTTGTGGTTAACAGTGTCAAACGCTTTTGAGAGATCGAGGAATACCCCAAGAGTGTATTTATTGTTGTCAATCCCATTTAAAATTTCATTGACAAGTTTGGCTACAGCGTGTTCTGTTGAATGGTGTTTTTGAAAGCCATATTGGTTATTATTTAGTAGGTGATGGTTTACTAGACAATTGTTTAGCCTATTGTGCATTATGCGCTCTAATATTTTTGAAATGCACTGCAAAATAGAAATAGGCCTGTAGTTAGAAGCAATCGAATCGTCTCCGCATGGAGACGATTGGTTTCGTCTTTTAGTGCCATTATTAGTATTGATACTCCGCAATAAGCGTTGTCGCCTGTAGGCAAACACCCATCTCTAAAAAAGAAGAATTGTTACAAAAGAAAGGGAAAACTTGTGTTTTCAGAGAGAATAAGTGTTGATAATTAAATCTATAAAATTGTTTTCGTTTAAATTAGTATATATTCTTTAAAATTTAAAGTTTTTTATATAACCATTTTTATAAATGAAATAGGCATTAATGGCAATAATAATATAAAAATTTGAAAATTACATTAGTTTACGCTTAATAAAATAAAAATCCTCAGCCAATTAAAAATTTAAAATATTGGAACAAAAAAGCCAAACAAAGTCATGTTGGCAATCAGCAGATTATTTAGATAATGTATAAGAATACTTTTAATTTTATTTTTCAAAGGTGTAGCAGCAGGTTTAAACATTAGTAGGAGATCAAATAATTTTTTCGGGGGTTTCATTTGGTTGGGGGGCAAGATTTTATGACGTCCTTTTCAAGGGAGTATAGGGAAAAAGAATAACTGGTGATAAATAGGGGAGGGGATGTCAAAAATTGGCTAAAATCGATGACGTCCTTTATGGATGGCTCCAAAACTATTTATTACTATTGTAATAAATACAATCTGTTATCCGTGAAAATGATATATCTTTACCAGTTTTATATATTTTAATACATTTTTATGCAACATAATAAAAATTAATTAAAAAAATGTAAGATAAATGCAAAAGGAAACTTGACGCATAAATGTTTATTTTGCCTCAAACTGACGTCAATGCGCAAAATCTTTTTGGCATAATTTTTAGATTAGCGTTTAATAATATTTTTTAGTTCTTAATCATAATCATAAAAATGAAATTTTTTTAATGACTGTGTTTTAGTGCTCTAAGATCTTCTTAGTTCCATTTGTATAACGTTACATACAAACGTCTGTAAGTGTAAATGTCTTTAGCATATGTTGAGTTTCCACGTATTATATGGAATAATTGCGTCTATCTATATATCTACAAAATGAGAAAACTTTAAAATTTTATTTAAAATCTTTATTTTATCTTACATATTATCTTATATATCTATAAATAAGAAAACTTTAAAATTTTATTTTAAATTTTCGATACTTAAGTTGTTAATGTGTTTACTTTATTAGTTAAGTCTGTGCATTAAAGGGACAATTTTATTTCTTATAGAAAAATATTTTACATGCCCTGTTAATTTTAAAGAAAAAATAATTTTTTTCAAATTAAAACGGCAAGAATCCTAAGAAACAGCAGGTTTGAAAAAAAATTAAAGACTTATTAAAGAAAAAAATAACCACTAGTGGTTATTTTTGTATATAATTAGTGGTTTATTTAAAATAGAATTAGTGATTTATTTAAAATATAATTAGTGGTTTATTTTTTTCTGGGTCACGACAACAAAAATTAAAAATAAAGCAAGCTGATGATTTGAACTTGCCACGCCGCGACCTTAAGTTTTTTAAAACAGTACGGGGGTTAAAAAAGTATGTTTTTTATAAAAGCATAATTAAAAAAATTCTAATTTTATATTAAAATGAAACCATTATATTAAACTTAATACTTCTAAAAATAAATAAAAGTTAAAGTTTAACTTTTTCATTTTATTTTGATATAATAAGGAAATTTAGAGTTATACTGCTATTAATTCACGCCCCCGTTAAACATACAAAACCAAGTGCGCAATGACAACACAATTTAGATAACCATTAAAATAATATTATACTCTCTTTTTTTTTTTTTGACTTTATATACTTTTTGGCTTATCCTTTATCTAAACCTTAAAATAAGGGATCGTCCATAAATTACTCAACGTTAGATTTCACAATTGAAGAAAACAAAAATGATCTAAATTTTTAGAGCTCATTAAGTTTAATGAAAATCGTCATTCTAAAGACCCGTATTTTACGGATTTGAAAAGCTAGAATATATAAGGAAAAGGTCTTAAAAAGTTCGGTTTGGAATAGATTACAAAGACCCGTAATTTTACGGGTCCGATCTTAGCTAGTTTTATATAACAGCTTTAAGGAACCGTAGGCGTTATGGTTTTCCCTTACTATGTTCAAGTAGCATGTTTGAAGTTTTAAAATCATTTAATGATATCATTATGATGTCAAAAACTTATCATGCTGTGATATAAAATACAAATTGCTTCCGTATATACTAATTTGCGGAAAAACCTAAAGAAAGATATAGAATTAATGAAAAAACTTTTGAGTTAAAAGTAGTTAAAAATATTTTAAAAAAGAATTATGATATCATTATGATATCATAGCTATATCGACACTTTACCAGGTTAACTTATTTTATTTTCTAATATTTTCTAAAAAGAATTATCTAATATTATTATCTTATATTTACAAAACTTATTTTATTATCTTAATATTTACAATTATTATTTATTATTTACTTATTTTATTATATAATATTTACAAGGAACTGTAGGTGTTATGGTTTTCTCTATCAAAGAATAGTCTGAGAACGTATGAGTTAGAAATGATAAAAAAGCGTTTGAGTTAGAAATAAGTATATCAAGATGGCAGAAAGATACCCGAGCGAAAAAGTTAAAAAAATGGTACGATGTTACTTTTAGACTCATTTCATTATTATTATTTAATTTTTAAAATGTAAATATAAAGTCAGTGCTGTGGAAAAAAACAACATAATTTATAGTTATTATAATAACAGGTTGTTTTTTTATGTTGTTTTTTGGTTCAGAGAAGGGCTTGATGATTCATAATCAGTAGCGAAACTTCAAATTCTTCCCTACCCCCCCTTCATGCGTCAAATTTTCAAAATGGGACCCACCTCCCACATACAACCTAAAAATAGCTTGAAAATAGGCCTCTTTTTTCTTGCCCCATCCCTGCGGGCCCGTAGTTGCGGCACTGTATATAATGCTTTCAACTAAAAACTCTTTTATTTTTTTTATAGTATAAAAATAAAATAAAAGAAATATCTTAGTTGAAAGTATCT